AGCACCAGCACCAGCACCGGCACCGGCACCAGCACCCGCACCCGCACCAGCACCAGCACCAGCACCAGCACCAGCATCAGCACCACCACCACCACCACCACCACCAGCACCAGCACCAGCACCACCAGCACCACCAGCACCACCCGCACCACCGGCACCACCGGCATCACCAGCACCACCACCACCACCACCACCACCACCACCACCACCACCACCACTACCGCCAGCACAATCAGCATGCTGCTGTTTTTTCGTTTCACCATAGCACAGATAAGGGCAGTGCTGGCCGTTGATGGTTTTCGGTTCTGAACATACCCTGAGTCGGCGGTCTCATAGAGGCAGATGCACGCTACTTGCACGGTTCTATGAATCCGCAATGCAAGCCTTTCCACGGCCAGCACATCAATGCAACCTTGTCAAGCACGGTCTGTTAGGTGGAAGCTCGATTTGTAACCATTTATTCGACTTTCGGATCGAACGCCGCAACAGGATTTTGGGAGGGATGCCGGGGATCTAAGGTGGAGACCATGGCCACAACCAACAATGGCGATCCCGACTGGACCTGCAATGTGATTGCGGGAGTTTGTGGTTAAGAAGGGCTTACTTCTGCCATGAAGCTCAGCGAAACCCAGAAGCCCTGCATCCTGTGCCCCGAGCCACCACGGACAAGGTGTTTCGGATGACCGGTCTCTTTGAGGTCCAATGGCATCCAAATGCATGTTATCCCTAAATGTTCCCGGAACAATACGCCCGCAGATCTCGAATCCAAGAAAGGGAAGTCAGAGATGGGTTTTAGCACTTCTTAACATCTTGAGGCATGTGCGCTACCGACAAGAAGGCTTCCTTGCACTTGCAGCGGACCAATTGAGCAGACAATTTTCCGCGACGGATGTTGCTGCTGTTGCAAGCAGTGATGGTGGTGTTGGTGGTGGTTGTAGCAGCAGTAGTAGTGGTCTATTAACTGCTTACTGCTGCTGTATGCTTCTGCTCCTGCTACTGCAGCAGCAACAACGACAAAAGCTGCTACGCTACTGATGTTGTTGTTGCTGCTGCTGCTACTACTACTACTACTGCTACTACTACTACTACTACTACTACTACTGCGGCTGTTGCCTTTGCTGCTACTGCTACTACTGCTACTAGGACTGCTGCTACTGCTACCGGCTACTCGACTAGGCTAGCGTATTCCACCACAGCCAAAACGGGAATTAGTGTTACCGTTTCAACACTTCGTCCGAGAATGGGACTATACTACTTTCGAAACTGCAAGGTTCGGCATGATTGTAGTATAAATGCCGCTTGTGTGAATTTTAATGTTGAAAGCTCTAGCAAGCCTGCGGGAGAGTGCAATGAAAAGCTACACAGACATCCATCCTCGCGTAGGTTTTTCTATAAAGGGACCCCGTCGAGGATGTTTTTAAACTGGGAGCCTTGTTATAGGGGCTTCCGAAAACAAAAGGGATTTCGGCTTCAATGAGTGACAAGAAGTCAGAGCCGAAGGACTGCTCTGAGACCTGTTGGGTGGCTGAGTCGAATGACAAAGACCAGGAGCCTCTGACCTGGTTTTTTGAAGGTTTCGGCTTTGGGTTTAAGATTAGGGTTTTGAGTCCAGGGCTGGGGATCATTTTGTAATCCTGCGACGTGCTGGCTCTTGCATATCGGCGCGACTGTCATTTAACATGAATCATCAGTTTGACGCGTTGTTTCTGTATTGCAAATGCTGCTTTCAGTGCTAAATGCTGCTATGAGTGTCACTGCTCCTACGCCTCCTCCTCCTCCTCCAACTCCTGCTGCTACTGGCCAAACTCGTGTCATCGTTCTCCTCGTCCTCTTCCTCATCATATCATCGTCATCATCATCATCATCATGATCATCATCATGCTCATCATCATCATCATCATCCCATCCTTCACCTCGCGTTCCTTGCATTTCCCTTCCCTGATGACCCTCATGTCATCCTCGCTGCCATCGACATATGTTGACTATCACGACCAGAGTGTTGCCATTGTTGTCCAGTATGCGCAAATTGGGATTATTGCTCTTGCCATTACCTTTGCAAGTTTCGGCTTATGAAGAGAGTGGTGACAATCCTGGCAGGAGAGCACTGCTTGCTAGGACTACAAGCTGTCCCCATCGACCCTAAACTTCCAAACCCCTAGCAACTGCGACCTGCAGCCTCTTCTGGAAAGGATCCGTGGATCCAATGGGAGTTCTTCTCCATGCGGGAGATCCGCAGCATTTCGAAGCTCAGATTGGATATGCTTGATAATGGTTCATGGTCCATAGTTGAGCATTCGGGGTTTCAGCGTTTCGATTTCGGGCTTCCGGGCATTATCATCCTGATCAGCAGCGGTTTAGATGATGATATGGGCTTGTTCATCTTGTTCTAGTACCTAACTAGTCTTCACATTTCGTTTGCGGTTCTTAATTATGCACAGAAAATCTGTTTACCACTACCCGTGTCGCCCTTGTAAGCTTTGCCTTTTTTTTAGGTGCTTCGGTTGTCGGTTGCTTGTGCTGCCACGACGACTTCTAGCACGACGGTGGACAGTGACAAGAAGAAGAAGAAGGACGACAACAAAGCAACAAAAACAGCAGCAACATCAACAACAACCATTGCAGCAACTACTGCTGCTGCTGCTGCTGCTGCTGCTGCTGCTACTACTACTACTACTACAACTACTCCCACGACTATCTTCCTTTCCGGTAAAGTCAGATGCAGATCAGATCTAGACCTCAATTCATCTACCGCTGAAGCTGGGTGCTTACAACACTCTTACAACTCAAGAGCACTTCGGCCATGCACCCTGCACCCCGCTCCGCATACAAAGGACTCGAGGACGGCCAGACAGCGACTGTTGGGCCTTGGCCTCGTTTTCGGCTATGCTGAGCCTAGCTCGAAAGCATGCAAGTTTGAGTTTGTTCAGTTTGTCGCGTGGTTTAATACTGCATTCCACGATTTATATCTGCCAACAGCATGTCAGCATGGTTTATCGTGGTCCTTTCATTGTTGCGCTGGAGCTGCGGCATTGTCTTCTGCTGTTACTCTGTCAGTACAAAGAGCCACTTGTACTTCTACTGCCACTACTGCTGTTGCTCGTGGTGGTACTAGTCGTAGTAGTAGCAGTCGTAGTCGTAGGTGTAGTCGTCGTAGTAGTAGTAGTAGTAGTTGTTGTTGTTGTTGCAGTAGCTGAAGTCGCTGCAGTAGCAGTAGCAGTATAGGCAGCTGCGGCAAGAGGAGGAGCAGGAGGAGGAGGAGGAGGAGGAGGAGGAGGAGGAGGAGGAGGAGTAGATGTTGGTATTTTTTGTTTGTCGTGACTGCAGTGTGTACTGTGAAGCAGGGCCGACGAGTGATTGTCTCCTGCGGGCAGCTGCCGACAGTTGACACCCCCAAATGTGAAGTAGAGCACGTGCGCCGCAATCAAGGAGTGGAGCTCAGAAGTAATAGAGTAGGCCTTTTGATAGGAGCTCCTGCTGAACTGCTGCACTGATTAGATGCCTGCCACCATGAAATCTTAGTTTTAGGGTCTTTCGCCGTCAGCCCGAAACTCCGAAAACTCAAGTCTAATGTCAACAGAGCCCTAATTAAGAACAACTTGCAAAGGTTCAAAAGTATACTGTGAAGTACACCGACCTGGATCATGATGAATTTGAAGAGGCCAGGGTACAATAGGGTCCAGGGGTCCAGGGTCTACCACAGGTTGCCTTTTTCAGCGTCTTGCAGCTTGGCATCGACACGATCTTATCAAGTTGGACTTCTGGTTCGCAGGGCCCCGAGCTGTTACAGACCTCAAGCCCTAAACCCTAAACCCTAAACCCCAAGCCCTAAGCCGGCGGCTCCTTGAAGTCGGAGCATTGCTGGCTCGGCGCCTCCCAGGGGGCTTGACTGCATGGTTGCAAAAAAGCCTTGAGCCCCAGAGGTTCGCTGGGATTCTCCGAGCGGCGCCCACTCTTTCGGGGGGTTCTGCGTTTGGGGTCTTCTTCAGGTCCCCAGAAATCCTAGAATCAGGATCCTGCGACTTTTTTTCGCAGCTAGACTTGGCAAGTCTGGGTATATATTATAGAACCCAAGGAGGCTTCAAGCGAAAGCTGCTGATGAGGCTTTGTTCGGGTTTGAGGTTCCGGGTCTAGCGGCTAGCGCGTCCTACAGAAATCCCGTGATGACCTGCTTGCTTGAACCCTCAACCCTAAGCTCTGACCCTCTACCCTTCAAACCCTAAGCTCTAACCCTAAACCCCCTAAACCCAAAGCTCTAACCCTAAACCCCCTAAGCCCTAAGCTCTGACCCTAAAACCCCTAAGCATTCCATCGTCGGACAGGTCCTGGCGGAGAAAGGTGATCCATGGATAAATTTTCCGGAGGAGCTGCAGGGAGCTTAGGCCGTTGAGGAGTCAGGGTAGGTGAAGGCATGATGCAGAGGTCAGAAAAAAACATAAACCCTAAAGCCTAAAACCAGAAGCCACGGAAGATGAGGGTTGCCTCGTTCAGGGCTCTCGTAGTTTTGAAGCCCAGTGGCTGCGTCCCAAGCTGCTCTGCGCAGTTCACAGTTCCGTCCACGCTGCCCGAAGAGGAGCTGGAGGGCAACACTGACAGAAACACGCGACAGGACGGGACCCCAAACCCTATACCCTACATAAACCTGGAGGTCGCTGTGTGCATCTGCCTAGCTAGGCGGGAGGCAAAAAACCCTACACCATAAACCCAAAACACAATACACCTCAACCCCTGCCTTTGACCTGGGTAGGTTATGGGATCGCTTGCAAGCGCTCCACGACATGTAACAAGCTTCAATCCTTGGGTCTGAGGGTTTAGGGTTTAGGGGAGGGTTTACGCGCTGTCTTGTGGAATTTCCCGGCTGCTTGCAAGAGTCCTGGATGCAAAAGGGTTTAGGGGCACCGCAAATCAAGACTTCCGGGCTGCGAAAGAGACCGATCTGAGACCTACCTATAGCTATGCAGAAAGCCCCAGTCACCCCTTGTACAGCATTACAGACACCAGATTCTAAAACCCAGTAATCCAAAGCCCGAACTAGTAAATCCTAAGCCTTATAACAGTTTCTAGACACACCATAAAGCCGCATAGCCACTGCCCCCGTCAACCCTGAACCCTTGCAGCCGCAGATCCCTCCTGAGTGTGCATGCAGAAGGACAACATCCTGGATCCCCCGATTCTGGCATATCGGATCAGGATTTGCCCTCGCGCGCCTCGGCCGCACTCATGAGTATCCGCATGTCAAGAGTATGATGATGAATATTGTTTCTACTCGTTGTGACCGTGCAACCAAGGAGCTGCAACAGCACTACCATTGACGATAAGAGCGATAATCATGAGTTCACTGCCATTGACGATAACCGTGAATTCTGAAGTCAATACGAATCGTGATATAGGTCATAATTATACTACTTGCAGCATCGCAATATTAAAACCATGCAAAACACAACCCTCGTAATGCTAACAGTATCAACTCCGAAATAGTCTTAGTATAGCCTAACCTCCAAAGCCTGGTCCACTTGTTCAGGCTCTGTCATTCCGGAAAGATGTGGTTGCTCAAATGGTCTGGGGGGTTTCAACCATGCTACAATTGTGTGGTGTACAGCCCAAGCGCCTTTAACTTATGGGTTCATGCTCAACGGTCGGAATCCTCACTCATGTCCTTGACTTCTGTCCAGACTCCGTTCTCCCCCAAATTCACAGTAGCTGAAACCCGACACTTGTTTTTGAGGCTTGTGCGTACATTGTAACAAAAGCCTTACGTCGGGTCCATGAAACCCTTGACCCTGCAGACCTTGCCAGGCTTGTCCGAGTCTGAGTATCACAAACACCCAAAACTATGAAAACCTTGAGCCACAGTAGTAAACCCTTAACTCTAAACCGCAAAGCGCTAAAACTCTAAACCCTAAACCCTAAACCCTAAACCCTAAACCCTAAACCCTAAACCCTAAACCCTAAACCCTAAACTCGGTGAGCGCGCAAGCGCTGTCTTTGACGCTGCAGACATATCATGGTCAGTATCCTTCGATGCGGGCCTCGCTCTTCGGATCATTCAGGCGCCTTCTCACCTGTGATTTGGGGTTTAGGGTTTAGGGTTTAGGGTTTAGGGGTTTAGGGGTTTAGTGTTTAGGGTTTTAGGCTTCCTCTAAGGGGTTTTGGGTGGTTCCTTCAGGGGGGTTTTAGGATCCTTTGAAGGCTTTCGCAGATCCGATTTTAGGCGTTTCAGGCTTCCGATGAGGGGTTTCGGGGTTCCTTTGAGACGTTATTTTAGGCTTCCTTTGCTGAGGTTCCGGGGTTCCTTTAATTGAGGGGCTTTAGGCTTCCTTTGAGGGGTTTCCGGGTTCCTTTAATTTAGGGGTTTTAGGCTTCCTTTGCTGAGGTTTCGGGGTTCTTTTAATTTAGGGCTTTTAGGCTTCCTTCAAGGGGGCGCTAAGCACGGGTTTTCAGGGTATGGGGAGCCTGCATCTTGGAGTCTTGGGTCGTAGAGTTCACGGGTTTGAAGCCCAGACATCCGCTAGGTTCTGCAGCCTAAGCTCTTCGCAGCATAGGTTTGGGGTGGCAAGGTTGCCTTTCATACGGAGTTGTTTCGCAGTGTCATATTAATATGATATACGGTTTTCAGGGGTTCTCAAACTTTCTAGCCAGCTAGGATTGGATTCCACCCGTTGCAGTGGTGTCATGAACACAGGAGCGTTGCATCAACTGCAGGGTGTGAGACGATTTTGCGGCTTAGGGGTTGAGTTTCAAGTTTGGGAGGGCTTTGCACGGGTTTCTACGGGTTTCGTGAAGTTTTACTGTGTTTTGCTGGTAGCCTTGGCTTGGGGAGTCGGGATTTTCAGAGCATTGCCTACCGTTAACCCGAAGCCCCAAGCCTTCAATCCCGAAGCCCTGAACTCGCGTTGAGAGACGAACTCGAAGCCCTAAACCCTACATCCTAAACCTTAAGCATCGTCAGCGAAGAGGGTGGGAAAAAACCCTAAACAATGGCAGGTTCAGGGTTTAGGGTTTCGGGCGCTGCTTCACGGCGACGGCAGTTC